CCCCAAAACCCCAAAACCCCAAGAGTGCCTACTTTTCAACATTTTGTTAGCTTATGAATTATGGTGATACTCTAATAAATATTATGAATTCTTACCGTAATTGCGTCATCTTAAATAAAATATTAATTAAATATACTCAAAGTTTACACATAAGCATAAATGGAGGATTTAAAAGAACCACTCATATCTAAAAATCATAAAGAATCAGGACCAGATCAATCGTATAAATTGAAATCACGATTTAGATAGCATCTTCAGCTTGTGGATGACTCCGATACTGACAGCATCAAAATCAACATTATGGAATCGAGAGGAATCCAAGAGAGATATCAAAAGTTTTAGAATCTACCAAATAACGATCTAAGGAATATCACAGATTTAAGTGAGGAAGTATCTCATGAGAAATAGTTGAAAAATAAAGTTCATCAATCATTTAGAGATGACCAATTCGTGAGCATTAATGGAAATCTGAATAATATGGCTAACTAGAGGGCTCAATAAAATGATTAATTCTAAAATGTCAATGAAACTATTATAAATGATCCACATACTTCAACTAGTGATTACTCCTCTAATGATTAGGCCCTTACCATACAGACAAGAAGGCGTGTTAGTAAGAAATTTATTTGATTTTAACAATCTTAGGATTTTTATGGCCGATTTTCTGGCTTGTATATTATATGTTCTGTTGCTGCTTGTTCTCAAAAAGGCGCAAAAACAAACAAGCTAAATAGTAAGAGAAGGATCATAATATTTTAACAAATTTTAAGAGAACTCTCAAATAGGTAGGCTCAATAAAACTTTTATTAACGCATTTTAGCTTAAAAACAAAAAATTTAGTGAAAATTTAATTTTTGATTCACTTAAGCAGCTCAAAGAAAATAAGAAGGAATCTGTACGACATCTTGAGAAGATCAGAATCAATCCTGATTTCACATCTGGCCAATACTTGAGAGAAGACCTTGAGTTTTACTTGCCTCAATTATGTTGTCATTACATTAATAACTCTATGAGTCCAGAAGAAGAAAAGAAGTTTACAGAAATGCTTGTTTTAATGTGCAAGAGTTCATTTTACTTTGCTCATAGAATGATCTTCTTTTTCAACTCAATCATTGATTCAAGTACCAAGACATAAGAGTAAATTGATAAGTAATCTAACTTAACCCAAATTTTTAACTATTAAATAGGGAAAAGCATCTTTTACTAAGAATAGAAAGTATTTGCATTAGTGGATAAGAATTATTGTTTTTATCAAACTCAAACAGCATACTAGAGCTTGCTAAAGATAATGGAATAAATTAAATATTTAAAACAGCAATGAAGTTTTATCGTAAGGATGACGAAGATAACAAAATATCTCCATTCAGTATAATGAGCACCCATGAAAATGATGTTAATAGATATATACCACCTGATAGTCCAATAAAAAAGTAGAAGAATTTCATCAATAATGTCAGTAAAGAATTCAGAAAAAGAACACTCAGTTAAGAGAAAGAAAATTAAAATTCTCGAAGCAAATCAAGGCTACTTGACAAAATCAATAATTAGTATTTTAAGAAAACACAGGAATCACCTGAGAAAGTTCTATCAGTTTAGAATGACAAGATGAAAATTCTAGACCAAGAAATGCTTCCTTATAAGATGAGCCAGGAGAGCAAAAATGATCATCTTAAATTCAGTAAATAAGATTATAAGTAATTCATTATAGAGGTGGATGGATTCTTTTCAACTTTGAAGTTCCTTAAAGATCTGACTGATATCTCACATAGGGTCCTCAGATCTCAAGATAAAATGGAATCATTGAAAGATGGATTAAAAGAAATGAATGATAATTTACCATCTGCAGTTTATATACCGTTTGTTAATGGTAAATTAAAACTTTCTAACATTCAAATAGGCTCAATTAGAAATTATGCAGTGCTAAATATATGTCATGATGAATCAAGGCTCTTTCTAACAAAAGAGAGAGCTCCATTTATGGTATGTATTGAGATATATAGACCAGATGAACTAAAAATTACTCTTAATGACTACAAAAAATCCATTAAAGTTGATAATGTTGAGGATAACTTTGGACCAAAGAAGAAATCTTCTATGATTGGAATTTTCAATAGCCCAAACAAGATTGGGAAAAAGCAAAAATAGAAAGTTGATAAATTCTGCAAGTAATTAGATACTTAGCTATCTAAAGGAGTTACAGCTAATCAAATTAAACATAAATACAAAGTTTAATATGAGACTTAAGGGCTAGATGCTAGAAATTTAGAGGGATTAGAAAGGAGATATTCAAACGTATCCTAAAATAGTGGAATTCATGATGAATATAACGATTTATAGGTGTAGATTGCTATAGTTGATGATCAATCCTATCAAAATTTATAAAATCAAACAAGACAAAGTAAAAAGATATATGATACTGAAGAAGAGAAGGATTAGTTCCTAACCTATCATAAAATTATTACTAAGCCAAATCCAGCAAGTTTCATTGTGTCTAGTCCTGAAAATAAGAAACAAACAATAGACATAAATAAAGCAATCAATGAATATTTGAAGCAATCAAATGAAAATCTTGCTGAAGGTTTAAACTAATCTGAGATGTAGTTCGGCTCTCAAAGGGCAAAAGATAAAATACTCTTTAGAGATGAATACAGCTTTTATTAGAACTTAGATTAAGTTACTGATGATGAACATATCTAGAAATTGAAGGGTTCCAATACTAAAAAAATAAGAGGTAGACCTATTTCATAGAGACCCAAAACTGCTAGAGAGGAAGATTAGAGTCATAACCCTATTGATAACCTAGAATAAAGATTAAAATATGACCCATCATAAAAAATAATAAATACTCAAAATATGGCACTCACACTCCCAGCTATTAATGATGATTTAGAAAAGGGGGCATCATCATTTGGTAAAAGCGATTCTGCAATAGAATAGCAATTTCTAGTTGTAGATAAAAATCTTGAGTAAAATTTCCTATTCTCAGAAACTTCTGAGTAATAGGAGGAAAGATTGAAGATAGATTCTAAATATGGAGCATTAAAAACTTGGAAAGTTATCAGACTCATTGTAAAAAGTGGAGATGATCTAAGATAAGAACAGTTTGCAATGCAAATAATAGAATTGGTTGACCAGTTATTCAGATAAAAGAATCTTAAATGTTGGCTCAAGCCTTACGAAATCATAGCAACTGGCTAGGGATGTGGCATTCTTGAATTCTTAAATGACACTCTTAGTATTGACTACGTGAAAAGAAAAATCTAGTAATTCGGAAAGAGTTCACTCAATGATTATTATAAGCTAAATTTTGGGGTTAAAGGTGATAAATTGATTTAAGCTAGAAAAAATTTCTGCTATTCAACGGCAGCATATTCTCTAATTCAATTCATCCTACAAATCAAGGATAGACATAATGCTAATATTTTAATAGATAAGGATGGACATGTTGTGCATATTGATTTTGGATTTTTGTTGACTAATTCCCCAGGTAAAGCTTTTAAATTAGAAAGAGCTCCTTTTAAGCTGACCCTAGAATTCATTGAAGTTATGGGTGGCTTAAACAGCTAAGGCTTCAGAAGGTTTAGAACTCATTTAATAGAGTAATTTTAATCCTTTTATAATTTTTAGGGGATTTTATGTGATTCATCAAAACGCTGATAAAATTTTGACGCTTGTTGAGATGCTTGCTTAAGGACAAAGCGACTTACCTTGCTTTAAATAAGGTGTGTAAGTTGCTCTAGATGGTCTTAAGCAAAGGCTTTAGCCTATGAAATAAAAATCAAGCGACTTAAAGACTCAAATTACCAAGAAAATGACAAAAAGTGAGGTTGCTCATTATATTGACTCTCTAATTTAAGACTCATTGGATAACTGGGGTACTGTAGTCTATGATGGATGGTAGTATTGCTGCTAAGGCATCTTTTGAATTAGGTATCAAAGGGTTATTAAACTTTTCTTATCAATATATCATAATTCTAATGTTTTGAATATGAAAGACTCATGGGGTTTTGGGGTTTTGGGG